CTGGGTGCAACATCCCAACAATTCCAGGAGCAGCTTTTGAAAATGGATCACTGTCTGGAAAATCTTGCAGCTTCTGCCCCCAGCATCTTGCTCCTGGAGGATTTCAACCTAAGGCACCTAAAATGGAGGAATATAGCAAATAATGTTGCAGCAGAGATAACACCAGGGGGCAGCTCAGATGAAAACGCACACACACATAAGCTTTTAACAATTAAACTATCCAAATGTAGATCTATGTTTACGTGTGTAGTGCTCCAACCTTGATTTTCTCCATTAGAAAGCATGTAAAAAAGCCATAGCTCTACGTTCGGAGTGCTACGCGAGCGAACGTAAATGTACGTTTGAACAGTTTAAGGGTTAAATCTCTGCACCAAATTCACCTTAAACCAGCAAATAATAGAGCCAACAAAATTGAAGAATGCACTGGATCTCATCTTCACTAACGATGATCTGATACAAAATGTCACCATATAATCAAAAACAATATACGTACTCAGATCACAACATAATAGAGGTTCAGACATGTATGCGTGGGGCCCCAAACCGACTAAATGTGATCAGTCACGAGGGAGCCTTCACCAAATTCAACTTCAGTAACAAAAACATTAGGTGGGACCAAGTAAACCAAGTCTTAAATGTTATAAACTGGGAAGATAGCCTAAGCAACATGGATCCCAACCTATGTCTAGAACAAATTAACTCTGTGGCACTCGAGGTATGCTCAAGGCATGGAAAAGGAGGAAAAGATGTAAACTAGAAAGAGAAAGGTGCTCTCTATACAGGCAAAGGCAAAGAATAACAGAGCAGCTAAAAGAAGCCAATATATCTGCAATACTTAGGGAGACACTGGTCAGAGAAATAGCAAACATCGAACTAAAGCTAAAGGAATCTTACCGAGTCAAGAAACGCGGGAAGAACTAAAAGCCATAAATGAAATTGAAAGAAACCCAAAGTATTTCTTATGTCAAATCCAAGTCAAGAACAACATTTAGTATTGGGCCCCCTACTTAAACGGGATGGGTCCTACACAGATGACAGCAAGGGAATGAGAGAGCTGCTCAAGTCCCAATATGACTCAGTTTTTAGCGAGCTGCTAACCAGACTGAGAGTCGAAGACCTAAATGAACTTCATGTGAGAGAGAGAGAGAGAATTTGGTAGACACACACCTATCTGATATTATCCTGATGCCAAATGACTTTGAAAAGGTAATAAATGACATGCCCATGCACTCTGCCCCAGGCCCAGACTCATGGAACTCCGTGTTCATCAAGAACTGCAGGAAGCCCTTATCACGTGCTTTAATCCTTTCAGGGTTTCCGACGTACTAGTACGGCTTATGCACCAGAGTTATTGACTTACTAGAACACCTAAATTCTAGTGCCTTCAAATCTAGCGAGAGAAAGCTGGTAGGCCTACATATGAAAGAATGGGTCTATGTGGTCAGTGTGCGCAGTATAAGAAAAATTCTGCAGCACACAGTGCGTAATGAGGAAAAAAACGTGTTTTTGGATTGATACAACGACTTTGCACTGTATTTTCGTATGGCATTTATGGTTGTATTCTAGTTTTCCTGGTCTCATTTTATAGAATGGAAGACATATTACAGAAACTGACATGATTTTGATTGGTTTCACAATGAAAAGTACCTTGAAATTGAGCTCAAAGTAGCAGAAATGTTCGATTTTTACCAAAGTTCAAAAGTAAATAAATCATGCCAAGCATCCAATACACATCAACTGGTGAGTCTAATATTCTTTCACAAGTGCACCCATATTATTTATACCATTTCTACACTAATGCAGTAGTCTGTATAACAGTAAATCTTCTATTTTTGTGAGAATGAAAATTCAAACTGGAAAACAAAAGAAATGTAAGATGGGCCTGGGGATGTGACTAACAAACAGAGAACTTGTTATTTTAGTGCCAGGAATGTCAGTCTTGTTTATTTTGGACCCTATTTGGAAATTGGCATCTTCTGAAATTTGTGTGAAATTGGCAAAATTGCCAATTTCTAACCACTTTATTGGATAGTTGAAATTGGTAAATGGGTGGTTTCTTGTACTCATTCGATAGAAAAAATGGAGTTGTAGCGAAATAAATATGATTTTTTATCGACTAGTACACAGGAATTGGCCGAAAATAGGGCTCAAAGTGGGCGAAATCGCCAATGTGTAAACATCGTCGAGACCGCTAACTTCGCGAGAGCATATTTCCGTAAGTTTTCCATCAAATTTCATAGTTTTGGTGTCGTTATGATCGGGAAAAGATTCTCTATCATTTCATAAGAATTTTTTTTTTTTTTTTTTTTCCGAAAAATTTTCGACCCTGGGAACGAGTTTAGAAGAGGGCCTCTTGACCCTGAAAGGATTAAGCATCCTATGGAAAGGGGGCATGGGCACGGGTCATCCCACAACTTCTAAAAATGACAGACATAGCCCCACTCCACAAAGGGGGCAGTAAAGCAGTAGCAAAGAACTACAGACCAATAGTGCTAACGTCCCATATAATAAAAATATTTGAAAGGGTTCTAAGAAGCAAGATCGCCACCTGTCTAGTTACCTATCAGTTACACAACCCAGGGGAGCATGGGTTTAGAGCAGGTTGCTCCTGTCTGTCCCAACTACTGGACCACTATGACAAGGTCCTGGATACTCTAGAAGACAAACAGAATGCAAATGTAATATACACAGACTTTGTAAAAGTCTTTGACAAATGTGACCATGGTGTAATAGCGCACAAAATGTGTGATAAAGGAATAACAGGAAAAGTTGGTAGATAGATCTATAATTTCCTAACAAATAGAACACAGAGTAGTAGTAAACGGAGTAAAGTCTGAGGCGGCTACGGTGAAAAGCTCTGTTCCACAAAGCACAGTACTTGCTCCCATCTTGTTCCTTATCCTCATATCTGACATAGACGGATATAAGCCACAACACTGTGTCTTCCTTTGCAGATGACACTTGAATTTGCATGACAGTGTCCTCCATTGAAGACGCTGCAAGACTCCAGGCGGACATCAACCAAATTTTTAAATGGGCAGCAGAAAACAATGTGAAGTTCAGTGATGAGAAATTTCAATTATGTACTCCGATGTGGAAAACGTGAGGAAATTAAAACTACATCAGAGTATAAAACAAATTCCAACCACAAAATAGGGCAAAAAACTAATGTAAAAGACCTGGGAGTGATCATGTCAGAGGATCTCACCTTCAAAGACCATAACATTGTATCAGTCGCATCTGCTAGAAAAAGACAAGATGGATAATGAGAACCTTCAAAACTAGGGATGCCAAGCCCATGATGACATTACATTCAGGTCGCTTGTTCTGTTTAGGCTGGAATATTGCTGCACACTATCAGCACCTTTCAAGACAGGTGAAATTGCTGACCTAGAAAATGTACATCGAACCTTCATGGCACACATAACTGCAAAAAAACACCTCAGTTACTGGGAACGCTTGAAGTTCCTAAACCTGTACTCCCTAGAATGCAAGCGGGAGAGATACATGCTTATATACACTTCGAAAATTCTAGCGGGATTACTGCTCCAGGTATACTTTGACATTTTTGGGTTATCCTAGGTAATTTACACATGTTCCTATGTATGATAAAATGATAATTGTACCTATGTGGACCTGTACCTAAATAAACTTACTTTTGATGATATAGCACTTTTTTTAATACTGTATAATTATTTTCATAATTTAATAAGAGAAAGAGGGAAGTTTTAAAGCTTTTTTTTTAATGTGTATGAATGTAATATAGATAAAGAAATGATTGTTAATGTTATGAATGAAAAGGTTATGTATTTGGATGGAAAAGAGAGATCTTGAGCTACAGAAGGAGCAGTATTGAAAGAAAGCAGGTGTATCCCACTGAGGGAGGGGGGAATGTATGACCTAAAAAGGAAAATGAAAGTTTCTCTTTTTAAATTCAGTAATTTATACAGGAGACGGGGTTACTAGCCCCTTGCTCCCGGCATTTTAATCACCTCTTATGACATACATGGCTTATGGAGGAAGAATTCTGTTCCACTTCCCCATGGAGATAAGAGGAAATAAACAAGAACAAGACTAGTAAAGAAACAGAAGAAAACCCAGAGGTATGTGTTTATATATGCTTGTACATGCATGTGCAGTGTGATCTAAGTGTTAGTAGAAGTAGCAAGACGTACCTGAAATTTCGCATGTTTGAGACAGAAAAGACACCAACAATCCTACCATAATGTAAAACAATTACAGGTTTCCATTTTACACTCACTTGGCAGAATGGTAGTTCCTTCCTGGGCGGTTGCTGTCTACCAACCTACTACCTAGAAATTTTAAGAATTCTTTCTTTCAACACACCGGCTATATCCCACCGAGGCAGGGTGGCCCAAAAGGAAAAACGAAAGTTTCTCCTTTTACATTTAGTATTATATACAGGAGAAGAGGTTACTAGCCCCTTGCTCCCGGCATTTTAGTCACCTCTTACAACACGCATGGCTTACAGGAGGAAGAATTCTGTTCCACTTCCCCATGGAGGTAAGAGAAAATAAACAAGAACAAGAACTAGTAAGAAAATAGAAGAAAACCCAGAGGGGTGTGTATATATATGCTTGTACATGTATGTGTGGTGTGACCTAAGTGTGAGTAGGAGTAGCAAGAAGTACGTGAAACCTTGCATATTTATGAGACAGAAAAATGGACACCAGCAATCCTATCATGTAAAACAATTACAGGCTTTTGTTTTACACTCACTTGGCAGGACGGTAGTACCTCCCTAGGCGGTTGCTGTCTACCAACCTACTACCTAGAAATTTTAAGAATTATGGGATTAAAATGAACTACTGTATATCAAGTCTTAAAACATTTATTTTGAACTATAAGAGTATTGTAGGATCAGAAACAAATACATGTGTATGTATTAGTAAAATATAAGTTTTAGTATACTAATTGCTTTGAAAATGATTAGGATATGTTTTGTCTCTGGGACTTAAAATAGCCTTTCTTTGGAACAGGATGGATGCTGCAGGTTACAAAGATAGTGCAACTATGCTCCAGGCTCTTGTGAAGACTACTGAACAAGGACAGACAATGTAAGAACATAGAATGGTCTCTAGTGTTATTTTATAGTTTTATTTTTAACCATACATTATATATTTACCTTTTTTGGTGTGTGTGTGTGTGTGTGTGTGTGTGTGTGTGTGTACTCACCTATTTGTACTCACCTATTTGTGGTTGCAGGGGTCGAGTCATAGCTCCTGGCCCTGCCTCTTCACTGATTGCTACTAGGTCCTCTCTCTCCCTGCCCCATGAGCTTTATCATACCTCGCCTTAAAACTATGTATGGTTCCCGCCTCCACTACGTCACTTTCTAGGCTATTCCACGGCCTGACTACTCTATGACTGAAGAAATACTTCCTAACATCCCTTTGATTCATCTGAGTCTTCAACTTCCAATTGTGACCTCTTGTGTCTGTGTCCCATCTCTGGAACATCCCGTCTTTGTCCACCTTGTCTATTCCGCGCAGTATTTTATGTTGTTATCATGTCTCCCCTGACCCTCCTGTCCTCCAGTGTCGTCAGGCCGATTTCCCTCAACCTTTCTTCGTAGGACAATCCCCGTAGCTCTGGGACTAGTCTTGTTGCAAACCTTTGCACCTTCTCTAATTTCTTGACGTGCTTGACTAGGTGTGAATTCCAAACTGGTGCTGCATACTCCAGTATGGGCCTGACGTAAATGGTACACAGAGTCTTGAACGAATCCTTGCTGAGGTATCGGAACGCTATCCATAGGTTTGCCAGGCGCCCGTATGCTGCAGCAGTTATCTGATTGATGTGCGCCTCAGGAGATATGCTCGGTGTTATACTCACCCCCAGATCTTTTTCCTTGAGTGAGGTTTGCAGTCTTTGGCCATCTAAACTATATTGTGTCTGCGGTCTTCTTTGTGTGTGTGTGTGTGTGTGTGTGTGTGTGTGTGTACTCACCTATTTGTGGTTGCAGGGTTTGACACATAGCTCCTGGCCCCACCTCTTCACTGATCACTACTAGGTCCTTTCCCTGCTCTATGAGCTTTATCATACCTCGTCTTAAAACTATGTATGATTCCTGCCTTCACTACATCACTTGCCAGACTTTTCCACTTCCTGACAACTATGTGACTAAAGAAATACTTCCTAACATCTGTCTGACTCATTTGAGTCTTCATCTTCCAATTGTGACCCCTTGTTTCTGTGTCCCATCTCTGGAACATCCTGTCTCTGTCCACCTTGCCAATTCCTTGTAGTATTTTGTATGTCGTTATCATGTCTTCCCTAACCCTCCTGTCCTCCAGTGTCGTCAGGCTGATTTACCTTAGCCTATCTTTATAGGACATTTCATTTAGCTCTGGAACTAGCCTTGTTGCAAACCTTTGCACTTCATCTAATTTCTTGACATGCTTGACCAGGTGTGGGTTGCAAACTGGTGCTGCATACTCCAGTATGGGCCTAATGTACACAGTGTACAGAGTCTTGAACTATTCCTTACTGAGGTACCGGAACACTATTCTCAGGTTTGCCAGGTGCCCATATGCTGCAGCAGTTATTTGGTTGATGTGTGCCTCAGGAGATGTGCTTGGTATTATACTCACCCCATGATCCTTTTTCCTTGAGTGGGGTTTGCAGTCTTTGGCCACCTAGCCTATACAGTGGACCCTCGACCAACGATATTAATCTGTTCCTGAGAGCTCTTCGTTAATTGAAATTATCGTTAGTCGAGTTAATTTTCCCCATTAGAAATAATGGAAATCAAATTAATCCGTGCAAGACACCCAAAAGTATTGAAAAAAAAAATTTTACCACATGAAATATTAATTTTAATACACACAAACTGAAGAAGACGTGTACAATTGCATGACACTTACCTTTATTGAAGATCTGGTGATGATTGATGGGATGGGAGGAGGGGAGACTGTGGATGGTGTTAGTGTTTAGAAGGGGAATCCCCTTCCATTAGGACTTGAGGTGTCAAGGCCTTTTCTGGGGTTACTTCCCTTCTTCTTTTAATGCCACTAGGACCAGCTTGAGAGTCACTGGACCTCTGTCGCACAACATATCTGTCCATAGAGGCCTGTACCTCCCGTTCCTTTATGACATTCCTAAAGCATTTCATAACATTGTCAGTGTCACAATTAAACACTTGTTCAGGTTTTAATTCTTCACTGTCTGTGTACTCCTTGAATTCCTGCACATATTTTTCAGCTGCTTTTTGGTCCAAACTGGCAGCCTCACCATGCTTTATTACACTATGCCACTACGATTCTTAAATCTCTCAAACCAACCTTTGCTGGCCTTAAATTCACTCACATCACCACTAGTTGCAGGCATTTTTCTAATTAAATCCTATTGCAACTTCCTAGCCTTTTCACATATGATCGCTTGAGAGATGCTATCTCCTGCGATCTGTTTTTCGTTTATCCACACCAATAACAGTCTCTCAGTATCTTCTATCACTTACAATCTCAGTTTCAAAAACATAGTTGCACCTTTGGCAAGAACAGCTTCCTTGATTGCCGTTTTCTTGGCCACAATAGTAGCGATGGTTGATTGGGGTTTTGTGTACAACCTGGCCAGCTCGGAGACACACGCTCCACTTTCATACTTAGCAATGATCTCTTTCTTCATGTCCATAGTAATTCTCACCCTTTTTACTGTAGGGTTGTCACTAGAAGCTTTCTTGGGGCCCATGGTGACTTCTTTTGCAGGTGCAATCACTAAAAACGCTGTGATAATATGAAATGTTCCAATTGTGTGTTTGGATGGGACCGCGGTGGCTGGCTGGCTTGTAAACACTGGCCACAAGTGGACGCGTCTCAGACGGAACGAATCGTGTTGGTCGAGTTGTTTAGCACTACTCGAGGCAAATTTTTTGCGCTAAAATGTATCGCTAGTCGGATTTAACGTTAGACGATGCCATCATTGGTTGAGGGTCCACTGTACTCTGTCTGTGGTCTTCTTTGCCCTTCCCTGACCTTCATGACTACAAAGAGACCTGGACAAGCTTCCAGCATGTCCAGGTCTCTTTGTAGTACTGCCTGGTCCTCATCTGATTTAATTCTCCTCATTAACTTCACATCATCTGCAAGCAGGGACACTTCTGAGTCTATCCCTTCCATCATGTCATTCACATATACCAAAAATAGCACTGATCCTAGAACTGACCCCTGTGGAGCCCCGCTCGTCACAGGCGCCCATTCTGATACCTCTTCACGTACCATGACTCCTTGTTGCCTCCCTGTCAGGTATTCTTTGATCCATTGCAGTGCCCTTTCTGTTATATGTGCCTGATTCTCTAGCTTTTGCACTAATCTCTTGTGAGGAATTGTGTTGAAGGCCTTCTTGCAGTCCAAGAAATGCAGTAGGTTTGTGACACGGGATTTGCTCTCCCTGAATCCGTGCTAGTTGTCATTCATAACCTTGTTCCATTCTAGGTGTTCCACTACCCTGCTCCAGATGATAATCTCCATGACTTTGCATACGATACACATCTGTACTACACGCGTGTGTGTGTGTGTGTCTCTCTGTCTCTGTCTGTGTCTGTCTTTTTTTTACACAGGGTTTGACAAGGTAGGTTAAGGATCCCTAGCTTTATTGACAAGCTATTTACAGGTTAAGGTTGTATAACTCTTTTGACAAGCTAAGAACTGTTACCTACATCAGCTCATTTGAAGGCATTTTTATTATTATGAGACATGCAAGTAGGGAACAGGATGAAGTTGGAGCCATCTGTGGGCCAGCATTTTCATTTGATCAACTGACGTTATCTCGTTGACATCATTATGCTGTATGAGTGTGTTCCATACTCGAGTCATCCTGGGTATGTATGATCTCAGATGGAGTGATGTTCTGGAGAAAGGTACAGCCAGAGTGAAGTTGCTGCTTTCTGCCCATCTTGTGGCATAAAAGCTTGTTTCACGCTGTCCTCGAAGTGGATCCAAGTGTGGTACTTTGACAATATTGGCCTTGTACATAACAGTAAGGCCACCCACATCTCTCCTGTGTTGAAGGCTCTGCTGAAATGACAGATCTATCCAGGATTGGTCCAGGCGAGAGATGAGACGTCTTGCTCTGTTCTCCACTCTGTCAAGCAGTCGCAGATGAGAGGGGGGGGAAGACAAACCAAGAAAGTGGAGCATACTCAAGGTGTAAGCGTAAATGTGCCTCGTACAGAATCTTGCAACCCCTTGTCAAGCAGATGCGAGATACGGCGAAGTGCTGTAAGCTTCCTGGCTGCCTTGTTTGCTAGATTTACAACATGGTTCTTCATGGTTAGTTTGGAGTCAAATTTCACCCCAAGGATATCAACTTCTTCTCCAGGTGCCAACACCCTCCCATTCATCATTACTACTGCACCAGCATTACCATCATGGTGCTTAGAGATGATCATCATTTGCATTTTCTCAGGTGCAAATGTTACTTGCCATCTATTTCCCCAAGCTGATATAGCTCTTAGCTGGTGATTGATGTAGCTTAGAGCAGCTGGCATTTCTTCTCTTGGATAAATGAATGTCAGTGTACAGTCGTCCGCATATGCATGTGATTCTGGGATGAGATAAAGAAGGTCGTTGAAGTAGACATTCCATAACAATGGTCCCAGCACGCTTCCTTGTGGAACGCTTGCCCCAATAGGATGTCTTGCTGATTCCGCTCCATTGAGAGCTACACTTAGAGATCTACCATGAAGGTAATCACTGAGGAGACATAGCATAGAGCCTGCAATTCCCAATTCATTCTCTCTCTCTCTCTCTCTCTCTCTCTCTCTCTCTCTCTCTCTCTCCTCTCTCTCTCTCTCTCTCTCTCTTTCTCTTTCTTTCTCTTTCTTTCTTTCTTTCTTTCTTTCTTTCTCTTTCTTTCTTTCTCTTTCTTTCTTTCTCTTTCTTTCTTTCTCTTCTCTTTCTTTCTTTTCTCTTTCTCTTTCTTTCTCTTTCTTCTCTTCTTTCTCTTTCTCTCTTCTCTTCTCTCTTTTTCTTTTCTTCTCTTTCTCTCTCTCTTTTTCTTTCTCTTTCTCTCTTTCTTTCTTTCTCTTCTCTCTCTCTTTTTCTTTCTTTCTCTTTCT